TACTGAGCCCAATCAGTGAGGTTTTTATTTTGGTTACTTTCTTTTTCGTTCTATAACTCCCATTTAGTCTTTTTTATAACTCCTATTTCTCTTCTGATAATTTTTATTTTTTTCATTTGTTTCAAGAGAATTTATGAATTCTTGATGAAGCATTTTTACAGTGATTGCTTAAAATCCTTCTCAGATCATTTCAACATTTGTTTCATCTTGATGTTGGCATTGTTTTTTGTTTCATTTTTGTTTTTAAAGATTGGCATCTGAGCTAACAACTGTTGCCAATCTTCCTTTTTTTCCCCCTCCTTTCTTTTTCCTCCCCAAATCCCCCCCAGCACATAGTTGTGTATTTTTAGTTGTGGGTCCTTCTAGTTGTGGCATGTGGGACGCCACCTCAATGTGGCTGGATGAGCAGTGCCATGTCCATCCCCAGGATCCAAACCAGCGAAACCCTGGGCCACTGAAGTAGAGCATGCAAACTTAACCACTCCGCCACAGGGCCGGCCCGGTGTTGGCATTGTTGATTATCTTTTCTCAATGATGATGTGGTTCTCCTGGTTCTTGTGATTTTCAATCATATCCTGGACACTTTGGATCTTATATTATGAGACTCCAATCCTTTAAAATATATATATTTTTTTAGCAGGCAGTCACCATGTTGAGATGTAGCAGGGGGGCCAGCCAGGTGGGTGTGCATGTTCAGCTTCTCACTAGGCTTCCCTGACCACTCCAGCAAAAGTAGGGCAATGACTCATATTGTCTTGTTGCAGACAGGTGGGATGGACATTGAGCTCCACCCCTGGTCCTGCTGACACCTTTGTAATGAAAGTGGGGCAGCCACTTGCACAACCTCTTGCCTCCAAGTGTGGGTGAAACATCATCTCTCCATTAGGCCCCCTGACACAAGAGAATGAAGAGGGGGAAGCAGAGTGCCATGTAGCCTGCATCCCACCACCTAGCTTTGCCTCACTGATGCCAGGTGGAGGTGGAGGCTCAGATTTCCACTGGATCTTGCTGACACAGAGGGACGAGGAAGTCTAGTGGTGACAAAGACCACACTGCACAGCCTCATTAAATCTTGTTGCTACTAAGTGCAGATAGGGGCTCGGCTGGCTACTGGACCCAAGTGACACTACTCTGGTGTGAGAACCAGAGTGCTGCTTGCTTTTACTAGGCAGGGGATGAAAGATCACCTCTCAGCTTAGCCCCACTGACACTATCCTAGCAGAGGAATCAGAGCATTGCTTTGTTCTGCAGACTGAAGATGGAAGATCGGCTGCCTGCTTGGTGTCACTAACACCTAATGGGGCAATCAGAGTGCACCACCTGCTTCCCAGGGATGGGAGTGAGGGTGTGAAATAGAAGGTAAACGTCCTGCTTGCACCTACTGATACCATGTGTGGGGAGAGAAAGAGTGTGGTTCTTTCATTGGTGTTTGGCTAGAGCAGGGCATGTATCGTCAACACAATTTTCTGCTGTTAGCCCACCCCTTTCTGGGTCCCTTGGAAACAGGCTTTCTTTGCAGCTTTTTAGTCTGTGCTTGGTGGCAGCTTCTGGTTGGAGCCTCCTGCAACATCCCGTTCAAAATATACGGGAGCCGAGAAGGAAATTTAGAGAACTCACCTCCATGTTTTCCTCAAGTCCTGAGATCCCCAGGCAGCCTACCTTCTTCTTTCCATGTTTCAGAGACTTCCTATGCTTTCTTGTGTTATATGTACATTTTTTTAGTTGTAAGTGGGAGGACCTGGGAGAAATGGGGCTACTCCATCATGGCAGAACTGAGGTCTATTCATTTTAACATAAAACTTCTGAAGATTTGTAGGTTCCTTTAGCACTGCTATTTAATTGCTTCATGCTCTTATAGTAAGAATTTTGTACGTTAACAGCAGCAGTACCAGATTAATGATTTGTAAAGATAAATTGGGAATTAGAGGGAGTTCTCATCTTGATTCCTCCTCTGTTGGTATATATGAAGGCTGTCCTTTCTCCTCTTTCATTAGCCACTTTGCCTCACCCTAATGCCATGATAAATCTCTTTTTCCTTTATCCTCCACTGGCTTTTCTTTTCTCCTCCTGCATATATTTTAAAGCGGTGAACTTTTGTATATAATTATATAAAATTCTGTGTGTGTGCATGTATTTCTAACAAAAAAGATACCCAATATTTGCAGGGTTTTAGCTGAATTGAATACTCCCTCCCCACTTTGGCTTTGATCGCCCCCAATCTAGATCATTGGGGGTCATGGCATGCAGTTCCTTACATCCACAGGGGGCCTTTGGCCTTGGCTGCAGGTGATCTTTGAGGGGGTGAGGAGTATAGTATACCTGGGAGTAGGGAAATATATTTAGAATATACTTATGAGCATCTGCCTAACACTACCACACAACACCTTTAGGGGGAAGTTGCAGAGCACTTGGTAGACAAAAACTATTAGTGGTAATAGCAATGCCAAAACCCACATGGCAAATAGACAAAATACAACATCTTTCAGGAGACTACTTTGCACCACTGTGCCACGTGCCAGACAGAGAAAGAGGAGTGCGATAAATACCTTGCCCCAATCTAGTAAAGGCTATGATCACGTAATCAGTTATAAAAGATGGGATATTGTTCTGGTAGTAATGTGCCAAATTACCTAAGTTAATATGGAGTCAAGCCCAATCTCAAGCCAGCTGTCAGATCATCTTTAACTGTCAGTGCTACTTCATCCATGCCTACTCTACTTTGTAAATTTATCTCCTCTAGAACAATTATGTTACTGTAATATAATAGTTTACTCCTCTACCTGCCTTTGAAGTCAAGAGCTGTGTATCCCCAGTGCCTGGTACATAGTAAGTACTCATTCAAAAAGTATTTGTCGAGCGCCTATGTTCCAGACACTGTTCCAGATGTGAGGAATACAAGATACACACTCCCAGCTCTCAAGATGCGTACATTCTGGTAGAGCAGATGGACAACTATGATCAAAGACCTTTGTACACCAGCATTTAGGAGACGGCTTGTACTTTGCTTAGAAGTCTCTAAGTGAGTCCCTTGGAGACCCTTGGGCTGCATATTTTTGATAAAATTTATCTTTGTCAAGATGTTTTGAGTTGGAGTAGACATAAAATCTCCATTTCTCTAGCTCATTGATCCTATCACAATATGAATTGCTTGCATGGTCCTGGGAATGCCACTGCTATGACAATTCAGTTCAATTCAACCAACACAATACAAATTCTATGCAAGGCACAGGAAAATATTTTACATATATTATCTCATTGAATCACCCCTTTTGGCTAAAGGCCTTTTATTACCCACATCTGGTAAGTGCAATCTTCACAGGATGCTTCCAAGGCACCCTGTGCATTCCTCTGGTATGGCTGTATTATAATTCCCTGTTTACTCCTCTGTCAGCTGCATTTACTCATATAAGGTTGGGAGGCAGGAGAAGTTGATTGATCATATGTGCTCTAGGGTCAAATCCCAACTCCCTTACTAACTGTGTGACCTTGTATAATTTATCCAACCTCACTGAGCCTCAGTTTCCTCATCTGCAGAATGTAAACAATAACAATGCCTACTTTGTTGTAAGGATTAAATAAAATAATGCACATAAAAAGCTTAATATGGTGCATTAACTATTAGCATGGTGCCTACTATATATAGCAGATATTCAATAAATGTTGCATAAATTAATCCCCATTTAACCTCCAGGTAATAGTGAAGAGACTGGTGCCAGAATCCAAGTCTTCCAATTCAAAATCTTGTACTCCTTCTATAACAACATAAGGCCTCGTAGATATTACACCATTTTTTTTCTAAATAAAAGTTCAGGCCAGTAATCAGATGGGATTTTTGTGCTATTTTTAGATTCATGATTCGGTCTGGAAGAAGTAGTTTGAATACCAAAACATCAAAATTTCCAGGACATTTTAATGCTTATTGCGACAACTGGACTGAATGTTAGAATCAGTAACGTCCTGGACAATTGAGATCTGTTATTAAAGTGCGGAAATTGCATGAGTCCAAGACGTGGTTATACAAAATTCTACTCTCTACAAAAAGAATATGAGCACGGGGTTCCGATGTCTTGGATGAAGGAGTCCGTTAGTCACTAAAATGACAAGGAAAAGCACCAACACTTCCTTCAGGCCTTAGACTCTTCTCCCCGTGTGCGCGTGGCTCTTATCTACTGAGCAGACCAAAGTTTCCTTTTTCTCACCTTTCGTTTCAGTATTTCTTTCTTGCCCAATCTTCATCCCAAGCCACACAACCCTGTTCCGTTTCTGAAATACTGCTGTTAGCCTAGCATGGCATTCAGACAATTGAATCTTGAACAATTAAAAATTTTGAAGGTGAAAAGAAAGGAATCCAATATAGCTAATTTCAAGCATTAATGGACAATTGGGATGAAGAGAATGGCTTACTTAAAATTGTTCGTATCACAAGAGGTGGACAGACACAGTCTATGATTTCTCGGTGTTATCGTGAGTTGCCTATTAAGCAATATCTATTGTGAGGGAGGTGGAAGTAAAGAATTAAATTGTATAGCCTGCTAAAGTTAATGTTATATTTATATTGCTTTATAATAATTTATAAATTTTTTTAAACGGTGAAAAATATATAATAAAATTGATTTATAATAAATTTATAAATTCATAGTAATAAAGTATATGCTTTCCTGATGACAGAATACTCAGTAAATATTAATTCAAAACAATGTAAAATGTTAACAATGGTTTTACTTTTGGTGAGGAAGATCGGCCCTGAGCTAACATCTGTTGCCAATCTTCCTCTTTTTGCTTGAGGAATATCGTCCCTGAGCTTGCATCTGTGCCAATCTTCCTTTATTTTGTATGTGGGACACTATTGCAGCATGGCTTGATGAACAGTGTGTAGGTCTACACCTGGGATCCGAACCTGTGAACCCTGGGCCATGAAAGTGGAGTGCATGGACTTAACTACTATGCCACTGGGCCAGCCCCTTAACAATAGTTTTTAAAGGATATATCAATTTACTTACTGATTTTCCTTTTCTATTTGAATTTTTCCATCCATAGTCCGTATCTTTCATGAACGCATCTAAAAATGAACGTGAAAAATGATTTTATAAATAAGTTGGCACTTGTGGCACTGACATGCATGTTCTATAGACATGTCTCTAACTAGCGATCGTGGAGCCTAGCAGCTAAGAGCACAGGCTCTGGAGCCAGACTGCTTGGACTCAAACAGCCTCTGCAAGTAACCACTCAGCTAACTTCACACAAAGTGTCTCGCCTCCCTTTGTCTGTCTCCTCACCTGTCAAAGGACGAAAGATCCTCCCTCCTAGGGTTGTGGTGTGATCTGTGTCTGCAACACCCTGAGCACCAAATGAATGCAAATTTTGTTGTCATTGTTCCCATGACTACTACTTCCTTTGCTCTGCTCCTGACACACGGCACCCTTGGGTCTGTCACCTAATAAATCCAATTACTATTTTCAGTTGTATCGTTAAAATGCATATATGAAGTGATTAAAATTAAATGTCATCATGCTCTGTACTTTTATGTGCATAAAGGATTGTCTTTTAGTCATATTATAGTCAATGTTTGTATTGAGCACTTCTGCTTTTCTGGCTCAAAATGCCAGTTCAAAAAGTAAAGTAAAACCTAAAAAAAAAATATCTCATCTTTGCATTCTTGGTGGTTCTGAATGTTTTTGTTGCTGTTAAAGATTATGCACATTATTCAAAGCTGTGCTTGACTAGGTGTTAAAAGACTGCTTTGCTCATCCTTCTTGCACCTCAGGTTAGCCTGCCCTCCAGCAGTCAGTTGGGTAATCATCCATCACACGTTTGCTGTACATACCCAACTCTGGAAAGCTGTGCGGATAGACAATCTATGTTCTAGGTACCTTTCATGAATAATTCTGTATTTCCTGAAGAATTCAATTATGACCCTACAGAGGATTCTTATGTAATAAACTAAAAGAATTGATAAAGTATGGAGTGGAAGAATCATGGTCTTCAATGAATCGTGGTGCTAGGCTGGAATATATGTGCATAAATGTCAGGAGTCAGGGGGTTTCTATGAAAGGAGCTTCAAAACAACCGGGCGAGGCACATGCCACTAGTTTGCTTACAGGTAAAGGTAATTCAAGGAATTCAACAAAAATGCTATACGAGCCCCACTAAACAAACTCTAATGTACTGCATTTTTTAAAACATATCTATAAAAGTATTGGGTTAATTACATAAGACTGGTCTGCACGAGTAAACTGAAAAATATAATGCAATGTATAACAAACCATTTAAAATATATATTTAGAAATCTTAAATAGCTTTTTTAAAAGGCTCTGTTCAGATATAAATTTAGGAATATAGATTTTTAGAAAAATAGGAAACCTAACAGTCTTAAAACCATCTCTCTCTCATTTTAAAAATAAAAACCCAGAAAAGTTAATTACCTGCCCAAGAGCAAGGTAGGAGTGAGTAATAAGATAATATGCCGTTTTCCCCTTTAAGCATTTACTTTTTTTTTTTTTTAAGATATGCCATAGGGGTTCCTTCCAATTTTGTATTTGATTTGACACTGCCTATAAGGCTCTTCACTCTTCATTGGAGACTGGACTGCTGGGTTGTTTCAGACTCTTTTTACAGAATGTTCAAATTCTTCAGCCTTTCCAAGACCTCAGCTGCCTCATCTGTAAAACTATAATAGTGTCAACCTCAAAGGGTTGTATGAACATTAAGTGAATTAATGTTTGTGAAGTATTCACAAAGTTATGAAGATTAAATAAGGCAACTCCAAGGAAGTATTGAAATATTTATTCTTAGTATCTAGTTCCACTCTTTCATTTTTAAAATGGGAAAATTGAAGCTTTTGTATGACAAATGACTTCCTAAGGTCACAGAGCTAGTTAGTGGCAAGGCAGGTGTAAGATCCAGTTTATTCCCTCATTAACATTTTCTATTACTTGATAGAATATTTCCCCTATTTGAGGAATAGTTGGAAATAATAGAATAAGGAGCTTGCTTGCTGTTCTATCAGATTTATTTTAAAAGTCCTTCTATGGTTAGAAGAATTCACAGGATATTAGAATGAAAGTTTCGCAGGAATCACATTATGGTTCCCAAGTATCCCAATCTCCCGAGATGTCTTATTACTCCTTAATGTTATTCCAAAGGGTCACTTTTTCTTCTAGAACAAATAATAATTTAGGTGTACTTTAAATTTTTCCTGACACAAAGTATAAGTTCCTGAAAGTGACCCCCCCCCATTTTCCAGAAGAGCCTCATGCACTGCCATATATGATCTTAGAACTGTTATTATTGTATAGAACAGATGTGTAAACACATATGCGTATGTATAAATACAAGAAACATATATGGTTAAAGCATTAACTTCTAATCATTTGCATTTTGCCACATCCAACTATTCAAGACAAACCAAATTTCCCTTTTAGGGACTTTGTTCTAAAAATATACTTCTCAATGACACCTCATCTGATACTTTTCCCCATAAGTCCTTAATTGGAAAACACTCTCCACAACCCAGGGATGCCCGTATGTTGCAAAGAAGTGTGCTTGCTTGCATCTTCCCTGTCAAGTGTCCTAGCTATGTTCCTATTTTCTCTTCATTTTGATTAGATTACTGTGGTCTCCTCTGGATGGATATTCAGTCACTATACAGTTATCACTATCCCAATTGTTAAACAGTAAAACACTTCCGTACTACAGGCATATCATGGAGCTATTGCAGGTTCAGTTCCAGACCACCACAGTGAAGCAAGGATCACAATAAAGTGAGTCACATGAATTTTTTGGTTTCCCAGAACATATAAAAGTTGTGTTTGCACTATACTGTAGTTTATTAAGTGTGCAACAGCATTATGTCTAAATAAACAGTGTCCATGCATTAATAAAAAATTAAGTGAGCAGAAGCTGTTGGAAAAATGAGGCCAATAGACTTGCTCAACACAGGGTTGCAACAAAACTTCAATTTGTAAAAAATGCAATTATCTGTGAAGTGCAATAAAGTGAAGCAAGATAAAATGAGGTACACCTGTAATTTGTAAAAGGTTGCTGCCTCAAGAGGTTCAAATGCCCACCTTACATTCATGGCCCTGGCTACCTTGATTCCATTAGGAATCTCTTGTTTCCTTTAACCCCAACATGGGACAGCAGGGGGCCTCCAGAGCTCTGACCCAACAGTATTGTCTGATCTGGTGGTTCCATGCTCGTGCTGTACTGGTGGTTAAGTATTTTGACTATCACCTTTGGGTTTACTGATATGTTGAATGTGTATTCATAATGATATTAATGAACAACTCCTTGTATTAGAAAAACCTCTTCACTAGATAGATCTACAGGGTAGCCAAAATGTTTGTAAACACAGAGAAACATAATAAATAGTTCCATAATATTGTATTATAATACATGTAAAATAAATATTTTCTAAGATTTTAAGGCCACCTGTATTTTGCTTTTCTTGATTTCCCACTAATATTCTAATTCCATAGGTTTTTCATGCCAGTAATCACAAAACATCGTAGTGTAATTTACGTTTTGAAGAAAAGTCTTGATAATTATTTTATATAAGTTCATCTCCAATTTCACTGAATATTTAAAAATTACAAGAATATATATACAAATAATAACTTACTTATATAATTAGGGAGATTTAAATTTTCATTCATAGTTCTAAAGGAACCAGGTGGACTCTGAAATAAAAATAGACCAGAGAAAGTGAATACAAAAAATCATTAAATATCAATATGATTTTTAAGCTTAGCATTATTGATGGCTATAAATAATAATAAAATGAGATCCAGTGTTACCATTTGGCTTTATCTTATATAAGGAAAAGAATTCATTTACAATTTAACCAGTGCAACTGTAGATGGTGAGAAAACACGCATGGCTGAAACATTGTATTAGAAGTTTGCTGAGGTAGGAAAAGGAAAGCATTAAAAAAACAAACCCATGATATTACTTTATATATCACTGACGTCTTCTCAATCTCTCTAAGTCCCCGGAAATAAAAGTAATAACTTAAAAGATAAAATAAAAATAAGATTAATATCAAAGGAAGCATATATCAAAAGAGAAGGGAGAAGTGACATCATGGAAAATGGTGCTCAAAGACTTGGTCCCTCCACTGAAACAATATAAACTGTCAAAGACTGACAGATGAACTTTTGCAAGCTCCAGAATCTAATACAAAACTTAGAGCAACCAGAGGACTAGTTAATGAAGAAAAGGACAGCTAAATTTTGGTGTTTTAAGAAATCTGTCAGGTCACTAGCCGGCCACTGAGATAAATGAAGAGAGACTTCAGCAACTGAGTACAAATGACAAGGAACACAGTCTTTGAAAAAATAGTTTGGATAAGTCACTAAAGAAATAGATGACTGCAGCCCTCAAAAATCAACAACAATAACTCCTGGAGAAGGAGGAGAATCTAATATCCAGAGTTACAGTATAATATTTAAAATGCCCAATTTCCAACCAAAAATTACAAGGCATACAAAGAAAGAGGAAATATGGCCCATTCATAGGAAAAAACTTAATTGATAGAAACCCCTGAGGAAACCCAGACACTGGACCTACCAGACAAAGATTTCAAAAAAACTTTCTTAAATATGTTCAAAGAGCTAAAAGGAACCACGGACAAAGAATTAAAGGAAACCAAGGAGGTATGAACAAAATGTAAATAAAGAGAGAAATTATAAAAAGGAGCCAAATAGAAATTCTGGATCAGAAAATACAATGACTAATATTAAAAAAAAATCACTTGAGGAGTTCAAGAGCATATTGAAGCAGATGGAACACAGAATCACTGAATTGAAGATAGGACATTGAAATTATCCAGTCTGAGGAGCAGAAAGAAAAAAGAATGAAGAAAAAGGAACAGAGCATAGAGCATCTGGAGGACAAACATCAAGGGTGTCAACACACACATTATGGGAGTCACAGAAGAAGAGAAAGGGTCAGAAAGAGTATTTGAAGAAATAATGGCCAATACTTCCCAATTTAATTAGAGGCATGAATATACAAATCCAAAAATTTCAACAAACGATGAGGAGGATAAACTCAAAGAGATATACACAAAGACATATTACAATCAAACTCCCAAAAGACAAAGACAAAGAGAGAACTTGAAAGCAGCAAGGAAGAAGTGACTCATTATGTACAAAAGTTCTTCAATAAAATTAATGGCCAATTTCTCATCAGAAACCATGTAAGTCAGTAGACAGTGGAATGACATACAATCTTGCACTGCATAACTACGTTTTGGTCAATGATGGACGACCTATACGACAGTGGTCCCATAAGTACCATATAGCCTAGATGTGTAGTAGGCTATACCATCTAAGTTTTTGTAAGTACACTCTATTATGTTTGGACAACAACGAAATTGCCTAACAATGCGCTTCTCAGAATGTATCGCATTGTTAAGCAATGCATGATTGTATTTAAGTTGCTGAAGGAAAAAACTGTCAACAAAGAATTCCATAACAAGCAAAACTATCCTTCAAAAATGAAGAAGAATTAAGACATTCCTGGATCAACAAAAGCTAGGGGAATTTGTCACTAGTATTTCTGCTTTACAAGAAATGCTAAGGGACTCTTTCAGGCTAAAGGAAAGGACACTAGATAGCAACTCAAACCCATAGCAACACAGAACTCTGGAAAAGGTAATAATGTAGGTAAACATAAAAGCCAGTATTATTGCACCTTTGGTTGGTAACTGTTTTTATTTCCTACATGATTTTAAAAAATATTTTTATTTTTTTATTGAAATATAATTGACATATAAAATTTTACAGTTTTAGGTATACAACATAATGATTTGACATATATATATATATATATATATATTGCAGAATGATTACCACAATAAGTTTAATTAACATCCATCACATACAGTTGCAATTTTCTTGTGATGAGAACTTTTAAGATTTACTCTCTTAGCAACTTTCAAATATCAATACAGTATTAACTATAGTCACCACGCTGTACATTACATCCCCAACACTTGTTTATCTTATAACTGGAAATCTGTACCTTTTAACCACCTTCACCCATTTTTCCCACCCCCAAACCCCACCTCAGGCAAACACCAATCAGTTCTCTGTATATATGAGGGTTTTTTTTTTTAAGATTCCACACATAAATGAAATCACAAAGCATTTTTCTTTCTCTTTCTGACTTATTTCACTTAGCATCATGCCCTCAATATCCATCTATGGTGTTGCAAATGGCAGGATTTCCTTCTTTTTTATGGCTGAATAATATTCCATTGTGGATATATACCACATTTTATTTATCCATTCACCCATCAATAGACACTTAGGTTGTTTCCATGTCTTGGCTGCTGTAAATAATGCTGCAATGAACATGGAGATCCAAGCACACCTTGTTTTATAGTGCTTCACTTTATCATGCTTCACAGATATTGTGTTTTTTACAAGACCCTCCACCAGAAAAAAGATTACAACTTGCTGAAGGCACAGATGATGATTAGCATTTTTTGTAGCAATAAAGTATTTTTAAATTAAGGTATAGACTGTTTTTTTTTTTAGAAATAATGCTATTGCACACTTACCAGATTACAGTATAGTGTAAAAATAACATTCATATGCACTAGGAAACAAAAAATCTGGTGTGACTTGCTTTATTGCAATTATTTTCTTTATTGCCGTGGTCTGGAACTGAACCTGCTTTATCTCTGAGGTATGCCTGTACCCATAAGTAGAATTACTGGACCATATAGTAGTCATATTTTTAATTTTCTGAGGAAACTCCATACTGTTTTCTATAGTAGCTGCATGAATTTACCTTCCCACCTCTCATTTATTATTTTTTTGTGATAAGAACACTTAACATAAGACCTACCCTCTCAGCAAATGTTTAAGTATACAATATTAACTACAGGTATTATGCTGTACAGTAGATCTCCAGGATTTATTCATCTTGTATAATCCAAACTTTGTACCATCTGACTAACACCCCCCTCTTCTCCCCTCCCCAAACCCTGGCAACCACCATTCCACCTCCTGATTCTATGAGTTTGACAATTTGAGATTCATTGTATAAGTGGTATCATGTAGTATTTGTTCTCTGTGCCTGGCTTATTTCACTTAGCATAATATACTCCAGGTTCATCCACATTGTTGTAAAAGGAAAGACTGCCTTCTTTCTCATGGCCAAATAATATTCCATTGTATTTATATACCATATTTTCTTTACCCATTCATCGACTGATGAACACTTAGCTTGTTTCCATGTCTTGGTTATTGAGAATAATGCTGCAATGAACATGGGAATGCAGATGTCTTCAAGATCTGGTTTCAGTTCCTTTGGATATATATCCAGAAATGGGATTGCTGGATTATATGGTAGCTCTGTTTTTAATTTTTTGAGGAACCTCCACACTGTTTTCCAATGTGGCTGCACAAATTTGCATTCCCACCAACAGTGTACAAGTGTACCCTTTTCTCCATATCCTTGCCAATGCTTATCTTTTGATTTTTGATAAACGCCATCAGGTTTGAGGTGTGAGGTGATATCACATTGTGGTTTTGATTTGTAGTTCCCTGATGATTAGTGAGGTTGAGTACCTTTTGACAGTCATTTGTGTGTCTTCTTTGGAGAAATGTCTATTCAGTTCCTTTGCCCATTTTTAAATCAAGTTATTTCTTATTTTGTTATTGAGCTGTGGGAGTTTCTTATATATTTTGCGTATTAACCCTGTATTAGATATAGAGTTTGTAAATATTTTCTCCCATTCCATAGGTTGCCTTTTCATTTGTTGATTGTTAGCTATAGTAATCAAAACAGTATGGTACTGGCATAAAAACAGACATATAGACCAATGGAACAGAATAGAAAGTCCAGAAATAAACCTGCACATATATGGCCAACTGATCTTTGAAAAGGGTGCCAAGGATACAGAATGGGGAAAGGATAATCTCTTTAATAAATGGCACTGGGAGAACTGGATATCTACATGTAAAAGAATGAAATTGGACCTTTATCTCACACCATTCACAAAAACCAACTCAAAATGGATTAAAGACTAAAATGTAAGACATGAAACCATAAAATTCTTAGAAGAAAACAAAGGAAAAAATCTTCCTGACATTGGTCTTCACAGTGTTTTCTTGGATATGACACCAAAAGCACAGGCAACAGAAGCAAAAATAGACAAGTGGGATTACATCAAAGTAAAACATCTATATCCTTTAATTATATTCTCTAATTGTTGGAAGCAGTCTTCATTGTTATGTCCACCATATCAAGCTGTTGTTATGTTCAAATTTTTACATCCTTATTACATTTTTCGCCTGGTAGCTCTATTAATTTACACAAATACTAATCTTAAAAAGAAAATGATTAAATTATCTCACTACAATTGTGAGTTCATCAATTTCTCTTTGAAATTCTTTTATTTTCAGCTGTATACATTTTGGAAATTATATGAATAATTATGTAATGTTTCAGAACTGTTATATCTACTTGGTGAATTGCTCTCATTTTAAATAATTAGGTAGTAACTCTCTATTCTCCCAGTAATTGTTTTTGTTTTAAAAACAAATATTAATCCTTTACTAATAGTGATATACCAGATTTCCTTAGGTTAGTATGTTTCCAGTTCCTTTTTTATTTTTAGTTTCATCTTGTTTATACCCTTAAGTTTTAAAAGTCTGCTGTTTTC